TTTTGGTTTTTCGAGACAGGGTTTCTCTGCGTAGTTTTGCGCCTTTCCTGGAGCTCACTTGATAGCCCAGGCTGGCCTCGAACTCACAGCGATCCGCCTGGCTCTGCCTCCCGAGTGCTGGGATTAAAGGCGTGCGCCACCACCGCCCGGCTTGTTTTGGTTTTTTTAAAAAGCTAGGTATGGTCAGACTCTTATAAGCCCAGCTCTGGGGAGATAGCAACAGTTGAAGTCCTGGAGTTGGCTGGCCATCCAGTCTAGCCTAATTGGTGAGCTCTAAGCCACTAAAATACCTTGTTTCAAAAGCCAAAGGAGGCCAGGTGTGGTGGCATGTGCCTTTAATTCTAGCACTTGGGAAGCAGAAGCAAGCAGATGTCTAGGAGTTTGAGGACAGGTTAGCCTCCATAGTGAGTTCCAGGCCAGCCTGGGGTAAATAGTGAGACCCTGTCTCAAAATAATAATAACAACAACAACAACAACAACAAAATAAACATTTTTGTTTGTTTGTTTGTTTGTTTTTCGAGACACAGGGTTTCTCTGTGTAGCTTTGCGCCTTTCCTGAAACTCACTTGGTAGCCCAGGCTGGCCTCGAACTCACAGAGATCCGCCTGGCTCTGCCTCCCGAGTGCTGGAATTAAAGGCATGCGCCACTACCGCCCAGCAAAATAAACATTTTTAAAGAAAGCAAGAGAAAGAAAAGAAAAAAGGGGCCTGGGTTTCCCAAGGGTTCTCTTTTAAGTAGTCAGAAGCCAGATTCAACTTGGGTTAAGTCCCCTAGTGCAAGAGTCAGAATGGAGTTTGGAGCGAAGAGTTCTTGCAGTTCTCAGCTCCCCTGTATAAACCCTACCTCCCCAGAGTAAGGGAGCTCACACCTCCCTTATTCACTCACTGGCTTCCTCATAGGTAGGGGAAAGACATTTGACTAAGTTTCCTCTCTGCTCCTGCAGGAAGGCCTGCTCGGCAACATGAGGAAGAGGCTAGGCTCAGGGAGAATGCCCTTTGGGCAAGCACGGTGGTAAAAATATTGGAATTTTGGGGCAACTAGTCTTGCGTTCCTAGAGAATATGGTGAGCCAGGTCTGAGAGTGCATGCATATGGAATCATCTGCTGCTGTTGGAAGTAACTGCCACCACTGGATTGAATAAACGCCCTTTGCTGGACAACGCCAACGAGAATGGTAGACAAAAGTAGAAAAAGAACAATCCATCCTCCTCCCTCCAGCCTTCCAGCCTCCTGTGAGCATCCCCCACCGCCTCACAGGCAAACAGAAAAGAAGGTCTGCCGCCCAACGCCCCAAGGCAGGCATAGAAATACAGGACAATAAAGAACAACAGAGAGCCAGACAGGTCTCAAGAGCAAAGGTGGGTACTTAGATGTGCATTCTTCTTCACAGCGGAATCAACTGGGGTGTTCATTTATATATGTGTGCATGTATGTACAGGATGCACTTGCACATGTGTGCACACGTGTAAGGCCAGCGGTTGATGTCAGGTGTCCTCTTCCATCCTCTCCATGTTATTTTTGGAGACAGACAGGGTCTCCTCCTGAACCTCGAGCGCATCCATCTGGCTCAGCCAGCTGACCAGCAAGCCCAGAGGTCCTCTGGTCTCTGCCGTCCCAGTGCTGGGATTACGAGCAAGCACCTGCCACACCTGGCTTTTTTTATGTGGGCTCTAGGAGATCAAATTCCGGTTCCCATGCTTGCTCAGCAAGCACTTTGCCAAATGAACTGTGTCCCCAGGCCCCACACTCATCCCCTTCCTTCTTGGCCTCCTCTCCCTCTCCCTAAACGAGAGGGACAGTTCACACCCAATTGCCCATTTGCTATTTCCAAAGCAGATCTCTCCTCTGAGCCTCAGGCCTGCATCTCCAGCTGCCTTCTCTGGAGCTTCTCCCCATGGGCTACCAGGCCTCTCAGAATAACGTGCCTACTCCTGACTTCTCCATCAGGTTGGTCTCGGGAATTCCCTCATTTCATCACAGGTCTGAGAGTCACTCCCGATGCCTCCTCTCCTCGTTTTCACCTTCATTGCCAAGTTTTGTTCTAAATCTCTTATGTCTTCTTCGCTCCTCAGCATCTGCCAGCCGCACCTGACGCATGCCCTTGTTCTCTCTCCTGGGAGCTGTTGCAGTCACCTTTGGGACTCCTGGCATCCGCCGCCGCCGCTCCCCACAGTCGCTCAGCTCAGTGAGCTTTTAAAGCTCCTCCGGTTATAACACTTGGACTTAAAAACCCTCCAGGGCTTTTCCACTGGTCCCGCGATAACATCCAGAATCCTGACCACAGCTTGCCGGGCTTTAGGCGGCGCGGCTGAATCCTTCTATCCTCCAACCCCATTTTGTTTTTCCAGACCATTTGCAGTTTAGGCCCCAGGTCTGTTTTTGCTGTTTTCAGAGCTCCACCTCTTTCCTGCATCAGACTCGCTGTGTATTCTTTGTCTCTGCCTCCCGTTGTCTTCCTATCTCCTTCCACCTCACTGTCTTCTAGTCCCCAGTCTCAGCTTGTGGATCACCTGAACGTCTTGGGACAGCTTCCAGGATCTCACTGTCTTAGTGCAGTTTCCGGTGCTATGATAAATACCATGACCAAAAGCATCTATTTGGCTTACAGGTTACAGTCTGTCATCAGGGGAAACCAAGGCGGGAACTCAAGACAGGAACCCAGAGGCAAGAGCTGAAGTGGAGGCCATGGAGGAGCACTGCTTATGGCCTCCTTCCCCATGGAACACAGTTTGCTCAGCCTGCACTCATCCCCCACCCCCCACCCCCCAACCCCTCTGGTTTTTTGTTTCTGTTTTTGTTGTTGTTTTATCGTCTTTTTTTTTTTTTTTTTTTCCTAGACAGGTCCCACATGTAGCTAACACTCACTGCATAGACCGGGCTGGTCTCGAACTCACAAAGATCCCCCTGCCTCTGCCTCCTGAGTCCAGGGAAAAGTGTGAATGTACCACTACACCCTGGCTCAGCCTGCATTCTTATAAAACCCAGGACTACCTGCCCAGGGTTGGCTCCACATCCATCATTACTCAAGAAAATGCCCTCAGACTTGCCTCCAGGCAATCCGAGAGAGGCATTTTCTCTTTTTTTGGGGGGGTGGTGGTGGTGGTGGTTTTTTTTTCTGTTGTTGTTTGTTCGTTTGTTTGGTTTGTCGAGACAAGGTTTCTCTGTGTAGCTCTGCGCCTTTCCTGGAACTCGATCTGTAGACCAGGCTGGCCTCGAACTCACAGAGATCAGCCTGCCTCTGCCTCCCGAGTGCTGGGATTAAAGGCGTGCACCACCACCACCTGGAGAGGCATTTTCTCAATTGAGGTTGTCTTCCTGGAAATTCCAGCTTATGTCACCGTGATAAATATACTCACTATCACCTCCCCAGGATTAGGTCTGTAAGCTCTGGTATCATTGGCACCCTCAAATTCTTATAAGGCTCCACATTTGCCATTGTTTATTGTTTAATCCCCTGTTTAATGTGTCTTATAACACCTAAACTTCCTGGCATTAGATCTATATGCTCCTATCACAGGGCCAACTCATAG